CTTATCGTTTTTATATGGCCTTATGCACAATCAAATTGACTGTCCGGATTAAATATACTGGTTCTTATCCAGAAAGAGGTTTTTGTCATCATACCCGTTTCAATTTTTTCGGTTTATGTCCACTATCAATTAGACATAATATGTTTGTCTTACCGTTTTTATATGGCCTTATGCACAATCAAATTGACTGTCCTGATTTACTTGAAAAAATATATTTCCGCATTCCAAGGCTTAAAAGTCGTCAACAATCAGCCTTTTATTGTCAAGCAGGCCGGACGAACGTAATGTTGAAATCTCCAATTTATGTAATGTGCAGTCTGACGAACTATTTGTGATCTGTGTGATCTTCATAATGGCAGCTGTAAATCAATAATAAATTGCTATAAGTCATCGATTGTTCTCTGAGTTTACTTAGGCCAATTGATGCTAAGCTTAAGTTTTCAATGTGTCTCTTTATTTTCTTTTTGTTAATGTATCTGAGCTTTTCCTGTAATTGGGTTTTACCTGTAGGAAATATCAAATATAAATAAATAAATATATATAAATATAAATAAAGGAATACAATTTCATTCTATAGCACTTTTCTGAGACAAAAAAAAAATATTACATGAAAACCTCCATATTAGACCCTATAACTTTTATATACAATTTTTCATCTGGAAGGCCATAAAAAAGTTAGAGGGGGGTCAATATATAACCGGACCGGAGACCTATGTTATGTTATTTTTGTTTTCGCGATTGCGGTACTTCCTTGAAGTATCCATTTATCAGACTCATAAAGCTGTCGCATGTTCTTGAAGAAAGAACAAAGTCACCTAGGCATCTGACTTTATTAGTGTAGCGATTTCCAGCATGGTTTTCTGGAGGAAAGGAACAATCCTAATTTCGCTACCATTCATTTTATTGTTAGTATAACAGGGAAATTCATTGTGTACCCGCTTGTCAGTAATTAGCAAATTCTCATCTTTTTCGGAATCCGTTTTCTGGCGAACCGTTCCGAAGATACACAAGAACACAGAACGCAAAAGGACTGTCTAATTAATAAGTACTGCTCCCGAATTTGCGAAACACAGCTTTGACGGAGGCGAGAGGTCTTTGAACATTACTTTGTATCTCACTCCTCTACTTTATAATTTATCTCTCTTTTCTATCGATTAGCGTCTTGCTGAATGTGTCTTATTTATACAAGATTAATAATGGCAAAACATCCAGACAATGATCAGTACAAACCAAATACGATGCTTTCGTTCGACAGACCAAAGAGACAGCCAACCATGGACAGCTGTTCCGTGCTTTTTGGCTACTCATCAGCTTGGTCTAGGCTTGGTCTTTTGTCTCTGGACGAACAAACTAAAGCATCGCAGCTATCCTCTATACCAGATGTACGGTCTGTCAAAATGGGACAGCGCAGACAGTGCTGTTTCGTGCGCATTAGCAACTCATCGGTGCGGTATAGGCTTAGTAGTCATGGAGACAGATGAACGGAAAGCAAATAAGTGGGTATGGCCGTTTGAAAAACTCAAAATACTGTGTGGAGGTAGGCAAAAGATCTGATGATCTCCACCTACTAATGGTTGGCCAAGTTGATCTTCATCGTTATGTACGTTGAAAAACGACGAAAAACCCTAGTTATGGGGTATTACGTACTACATAATTGCTTGAAGTTCTCAAGGCAAATTATTTTATAATTTCGATGCCATAGTAATATAATAGCAGTTGTACTGGCACGTTCTTGTTGTACAGAGTTTGATAGAGCTAGAATAATGATCAAAAGCCTGACGGGTTCGTCTTTCAGGCTTCGTCGCATGAAATACGCTGTCAGAAAAGTCAAATCAACCGTCTATCAGTAGAAGATGGTATAAACACGCTTTCTAAAAATGTGTCACTGATTAATTTAATTTGATGAATTTTTGTTGAAGTTTGCAGGTCTTGGATACGTATTTATGTCATTAAAGATGATCTTAGTTAACTGCAAAACGTTCTGTATCGTTAGACAACAGGAAGTAGATTTTATGACGTAAGCACTAAAAACCCTAAACAGAAGCGAAGCGAAACAAACGCTTTTTATGAGGTCGTGTCAGTAAATAAAACGCCATAAAAGGAGCTTTCTCTCTAATGAATGAACAAGTATCATCACGTTTACTAAACGACACCGACTGCTTTAAAATCCCATCCAGACATTTACTGAAAAAAAGACAGAAAGATGTGACTTTAAGGGGAATCATCTTTGCTTTGGTCCAGAATACGTGACGTTTTGTGGCATTTGTAAACGAAATATGTTAGGAAAGGGTAGTGATGACGGTGCTTTTTTTACAAAAAAATATGATATATTGTGTTAGATTTGGGATGCACACATGTCAGTAGCAAAGTAGTTGTAGTTATGTTGGTGACATACATACACTAGCACTAGACACAAGTTTGATGTTTGTCCCCATGGCTTTAAAATTATACTAGTAACATTAGTAAACGTATTCCACCAGAACTCATGAGAATACGAAATCTTATGAATAAGGGGAAAAGGAAGGTTGAAGGTTCAGTTTTCTTTGGAAGGTTGATGCAATGTTTAAGAATAGTAAGAAGAATTTTTTTAAAAGGAAAATGGAGCCTAGTATAGTTACTTCTGAGGAAATTGCTGCGATCCTGCATGGACATGTTGATGAAAATTGTATATGAATCTTCAAGTGCAGCATATTCTATCTACAGGGTATAAACGTTATGATAGTCGTTATTTAAATAGGCGACAGAGGGGGTTAAAAGAAGCAAAATGCTTCATATAACATGGAGGTCAAAACGGCATTTTTTTAGAGAATAGCGACTTTGAAGTAGAATAAAATCTGACACCGCCGCAATGCCTGACGCACATTACGACGGAACGTAGTGTAAATAAATATTGAGTTTGATATTTTTGGCTCTTAGCTATTATTTCGTTATTTGGTAATGTAAAATGCAAACAATTAAAAAACGGACTTACCACCAACTGTCTCACCGCTTCACTTGGTGTGTAAAAGTTTATTGAACGTATTAAAAAATCCACTTATAAATAGGGAACACAATTTTGATACATACATTGTTTTTATTTTTAAAACCCACACTGCACTTTTTTGTACTTAAAGAAGGTGTCCAAAATGTCGTCCTCCACTTTCCACACAAGCTTCATTACGACCTTCACGAATAGTATGAGGATTTTCTTGGGCCCACGTGTGACTATTATGGAAATTTAATATCCCGTCTCGCGTAAAAGTACATTCGTCCGTCGCTAGAACGTTTTTAAAAAACTCGGATTTTCTATGTTTTTGTGCAAAAACCACTGACAGAATGTTAGTCTGCCAGGATAGTCTTCTGGTAACAAGGCCTGCAATCGTTGTACATGGTAGGGATAAAGCAAATTTTCCCGTAGGATTCTATGGACTATGGTATGCGATAGTCCTTCGCGGCGGGCCTAATTCCCGAGTGCTGACAATCTGCATTGATTTCCACGATATTTAAAATTGGTTCCTCCTGATCTACAGTAATCTGTCTTTCACGAGTGCGAATATTAGTGGGCTGAGCCCCTCCTGTCTGTCGAAGTCTTTGGTACACTTGCACAAATGTCCTTCTGACTGGGTGTACCCGTTGGCAAAATCTGTCGCGATAAGTTTGAGCTGCAAGATTTGAATTATGTAAATCAAGACGACGACGTAAGCGAACAAAAACATACTAACCACTGTTACCGTTTGCGATCGATTGCTGGTTCGATAAGAGTGATGATGACCGACGCGCTGTTGTCGTGTGTGTTTTAAATATTCAATTTAATGAAACTTACTTACTTACTGACTACAAATTTTAGCTTAACTTAGAAAAGCTTAATGCCATTTATTTGTTAATTACCAATTTAAAACGTTTTAGATTAGATTATAAAAATTAGTAAGATTGTGGTGATTGTGGTCGATATAAAGCACTTAAAGTTGTAAACTATAAAGCCATTTAGACAAAAATCTATTGACTTTTGGATCATGGTTCATACGAACTTTTTGACTTATTTTGACCCCCATATTACCCATTTCAATAATGACTACCATAACGTTTACACCCTGTATAATACGTAGATTAAATTTCAAGCTTACCTCACAAAGCAGAAAAATACCACAGAATACAGAGTGAAACAAAACAAATGGAATCGAAATAAATTTTGAGATGTTTGTGAAGTACCATATTGACTCAAATACGTGATCTCAGTAACGAGGGCACCGAATTCGACGAAGCTTAAGGAGTAATATGCAACCTGGTCATGACAATTCAAAAACACCAAAAATCCATCCATTTTGGTATTTTTAAATCCTGGTATTTTTTGATAGAAGTCATGGCATCTTGTGCTTTGATTTAGCTAGCAGGTAATGGAAGTTCTGTCAACATGGAAACACCAGGACAAGTTTCAGGTGTAACATTAATCAACCGGTATTTTTTCTTCCTATCTCTATTGGCGAGGAAGTATAGTGATCGCGACAAATTTGCTTTTGAATGCCTTACCACGAAAAGTCACGTTCTTTCTGTCTGTCGGCCTGTCCGCTAATGCTTGACTTGTCTATCGCTTGGAAAGTAATGCTCAATTAAATAAAAAAATTGCTCAAATTTTGCTTTTGTCGCTTCACATCCTCATATTTGGAATATTTTTAGGCGTGATAAATTGGGGGCGAGGGAGCTGTAGGGGGATCGACTAGGGTGTATCGCATTTTTGTTGGCAGTATATGCTTGAACTTTGCCATTAGGCATCTTTCACACACCCTGTGCATTTGCCCTTAGCATGATAGAAATATTTTGTATATAAATAGCGCTGCTTGCTCTCGGACGAACATTTGGGCGACGAATTTTCACCTGAACAGTTGGGAAGAGTTCCACGATGCCTCGGCGATGTAACAATTGTGATTACCAGAACAATATAATTTATGAAAAACCTCCAGTAATAAGTGGAATTAAATAATTTGGTTCTTCTGCTCTGAAAGGTTAGTGAACACTAAATCAATATGCCATTGACACGAGATCAAATGGCCGATGTTAAATTAATAAAGCAAACCATTGAAGAATTGCTCAGTGATGATAAATTCTTAACGCTTATTTCTAATAAAATCGAACAGAAACTGGGTATAAAGGAATCTCAACAAAAAATGGTCGAGCTAGAAAAACAAATAGTGGACCTGAGACATGCTAAGAATAAACTAGAGTGTGATTTGGAAAAATTTCAATAACATGCACGTCGGAAATCTTTTAGAATAGTTGGCATGAAGGAATCACATGGTACAAGTGTCCTGGAGCAGGTGCTTACCTTATGCGAAGATAACCTAAAAACTCGAGTTTTGGAAGAGAATATTGAAAATTGTTTTTGGTTAGGTCTTGTTTACTGTAAATTCTCATAACCTGAAAATGAAGCTTTTGAGAAACAGGAAGTTGCTGAAAGGTTCAGGAATAACTCTTACTGAAGATATGTCGCCTGCTCGATATAACCTGTATCAAAAGGCCGTGCAGAAATGGGGTAACAGAAGACCTGGTTTTATAACGGAGAAATATGGGTGAAACTGCGAGAAAACAAGTTACAGATAAAAGCGGAAGAGGACTTGAATAACATGGCGCAGTAATGATCCCATGTACTGTTCAGGTTGCTGCAGAGTGGACGTGAGCTTTTCATTTTGGTTTAGTGCTTTTTTCTTTTCTTTTTTTTCTCCTTCCTTTTCTGCGAGTTGTAATTTGTTACATAACTGAGCCATTGTTTAGTTGTAGCAGTTTAGTTAGTTTCAGTTTTTTCTGCATTCATATTGAGTTTATCTTGATTTGTATATGACTGATATTGATACAGCTTTGAATATTTTAGAGGATTATAACAATATCACGACCATCAGTTGTTCTAATTTTGATGAATTAAATAGTGTTCTGTTTGAGAGAAGTGATAAGTTAAACTTCACTATACTTCATTACCATATCAGGAGCTTGCAAGCTCACTATGATGAGCTTTGTATAAACATAGCGGTGTTGAATAAGAATAAAAATATAGGTATAATTGTTTTGAGTGAGACCTGGAATATCAGTTATATCGACAGTTATAAAATAAATGGCTTCCAAATTTACTATAATGAAGCCAAGTATAATAAATGCGGTGGGGTTTGTATGTATGTAAGAGATGACATTTCGGCAAATGTTTCCATAAAAATGATAGATGTAGTGACGGCATTGAATTGTAGCTTTATTTTCAACAATAACAGTTTCAGTATTACTGGTATCTACAGGCCTAATTCCACGAATGTACAGGATTTTGTAAACAATTTGGATTCGTATTTGAGAAGTACTGCAAACTGTGACATTTCGTTGTTGGTGGGTGATATAAATATAGACTTATTGAGAGAACATGAATACAGCAACTTAAGATACGTGAATATGTTACAACAGAACGGGTACATATCTCAGATTAATACACCTACTAGGGTAGATTCTAACTCATCTACGATTATCGACCACATATTTTTGAAGACAAACAGATTTAAGATTTCTGAAACAGCAATTGAGTGTAAACCAATACTTTTGGAAAATTGTATGTCCGATCATTATCCTGTTTTGTTCAATTTTGGGTATTTGAAAGGAAGTAATTGTATCATTAATAAAAACGGCTATGAATTTAAGAAAATTGATGAGAAAAAGTTGACAGATTATTTGCAAGTGGTGACTTGGGACAGTGTTTTTTCAGAGAGTGATGTCCAAAAAGCAACTGATAACTTCTATAATGAATTATATAAAGGCATAGATTATTCAACGTATTATTTAAAAATAAATAGTAATTTAGATATTGAGACAGTCCTATATCTCCTACAGAAACAGAGTAACTAATCTTATTAAGATCTCTAAAAATAAATATTATAAACAAAAACTCATTTTAGCTGGTAATAACTATAGGAAGAGCTGGGATGTTATTAATGAGGTACCTAATGTTGGCAAAATAAAAAAAAAATGACGTAAAATCAATTAATCACAATAATCAGCATCTGGGCGCTCCCAATGATATAGCCTGTGTTTTTAATAAATATTTTGTTGATATAGGTGAGCAAATAACAAGTCAGATTGATCAATGCTCAATTCTTGATACATCAGATCCTCATGTCGTCAACATTGCTCACTCTATGTTTCTAACTCCAGTGGATAACACAGAGTTACAACAAATAGTTTGTAATCTGAAAAATAATAGCGCACCCGGAAAAGATGGCTTACATACTAAAACTGTCAAGATGATCATGAAGTATATCAGTCACCCTATAACTCACATTATCAACCTCTGTTTCAAATCCTCAGTAATTCCTCGCCAATTTAAAGAAAGCATAGTGACACCAATATTTAAATCTGGAAGTAAAGACAGTATGTTCAATTATAGACCTATTTCAGTTATCAATGTATTTGGGAAGATTTTTGAGAAGTGTTTAAATAACAGACTTTGTTCTTTTCTTGAGAAATATGACATAATATCGAACTGTCAATTTGGGTTCCGCAAAAATTGCAATACAGAGCAATCTCTACAAGAACTTACAGGACAAGTGCTTGAAAATTTTCAAGATGGAAATAAGACTGTTGCAGTTTTCCTAGATCTTCAAAAGGCTTTCGATTCAGTATCTCATACAATTTTATTAAAGAAACTAGAAAGTGTTGGAGTGCGTAGCGGAGTTCTGAACTTATTTGAGAACTATTTGGCTGATCGATTACAACAAGTTAAGGTAGGGTCAGATTTAAACAACATTCAAAAGATCAAAATAGGTGTGCCTCAGGGACGGTTTTGGGACCAACACTGTTCCTCATATACATAAATGAGCTACTTCGATGTAATTTCAACTGTAAAATGATATCATATGCAGACGATACTGTTTTAGTTTGCACTGGTCATTCATGGGATGACGCAATACGGAATGCCGAGTTGTCATTAAATAAAGTCAAATGCTGGTTGGATAACAATTTATTTAAACTTAATATCTCTAAAACTAAGTATGTAACGTTTTCTCCAACCAAAGCAGGCATGCCACTACACCACCGAACATTAATTATAAATGATAGTGCTGACACTGTCGAAAGAGTTGAAGTTATTAGATACTTAGGAATCACTATTGACAGTAATTTAAAATGGCAGAGTCATGCCGAGCTTCTCTCAATATATAACTCGTTTGTGGGGTCTCTACTAACTTACGGGATAAGTATTTGGGGAGCTGCATACACTAGTACTTTAAAAATACTACAAACCACGCAAAATTATATTGTCAGGACTATTTTTCGTATCCCATGTAGGTCAAGTTGCAGATTTGTTTACATTGAAAATGATCTTTTGAATGTTAGAGGTTTATATATTTTTGCTGCTCTAAAATTTGTTCACTCCCGAAACAATGTTCCAACCAGCCACGCTTATGAAACAAGAACTAAAATAAATATAAGTTACACCTATACCAGAGTGAATAAATCTGTTTGCCAAAAATGCATAAAGTTTGATGGTATTAGGTTGTATAATAAATTACCCCTAGAATATAAAATCCTCTCGAAGTATAGTTTCAAAAAAAGAATTAAGAAGTTCATCTTAAATAACTTTGACATGCTTGCATCGACGGTAGCTTGACTCAACTCAGTAATTTCGTTTCTATCTAATGTTTTTTTTTTATTTCTTATTTTTTATATACATTTTGCTCATAATATACCTTATAACCATTAGCCATGCATTGAATTTGTATATTGTATGACACACAGGCTTATAGCTTAGGTGTCTATTCTTTTGTAGTAATTCTTTTGTAGTAAATTGTAGTACTCGTATATTATCATATTTCAGATATTCATATTTTATGTACTCTTTATTTATACTTCTGAGTGTTTTTAGTATATTGTTATGAATTTTAGATTTGTTTATGCAGACACGTAATTAAGGATTTATGACGACAAGATTTAGACATTTACCCTTTACGAAAGTATACAGAATTTTCACAATTCATATACCGTTACTTGCTGGTTCTAGATCTGATGCTAGTATCTTTGCTCAGATTTCTGTTGCAATCTTGGTTATTCAGGGTAGCAAGAGTATACAAGCTAATGTATTTTTGATTTTTTTTTTATTTAAATTGTACTGAAGGTTGTTTTTTAATTTGTAAGTTATATTGGTTTTTGAATTTGAATAAACCTTGAACTTTGAATAAACTTTGAATACATTTTCTCCAATCGTATTTTTTGATTACATGAACAGCTCACATACTATGCTATTCAAATCCCGTAATTTCACTGAAATTCATTCCACTCTTCGGCCTTATGCCGTGGTACAAGGGTTTCCATAACCTGCAAACAAGAACGTACAAAATTTGACTCAGATACTATACAAGACGTACATGTATACATACAAGTCCATTTGTCCAAAATTGCATGGGGAGTACTGAGTCAACCTACTTGACGCCATTTTTTGTTCAAGTAGCACGTTAATTAAGCACAGTTTATTTTTGTATCAGCATCTTTTGTCCTTGATCTCTGTTAGAGACGAAAACAGATGACCTGCCTTCTGTCCCACTTTCCAATAATCTGTCAATGTCCGTACCCGAAAAGTGCGCCACCACTTAAAAGCCAGTTCTGGCTCTAACAAGAAGTTGTATAAAAACCGACTGCTCACTGATTGCCGACGCTCGCCCAAACCGGAACAGTAATTTGTTCTCCTCGCCGCCCATAAATAACCTCAAGGGCCTCTCAAGACGCTGCCTGTTCCGTCAAGGAGCTGCCTAAATGAGAAGCATCATTTACGCAAGATTGTTGTCATCCCTTACACCCTCTAGCTCAAATGATTGTTTTTCTGGAATCAAAGCAACCTAGTGGAAATTTGCTATTTCTGACTTTATGTGTTATGAGTCCGGCCCATCCAGATATAATTTATTGTCCGGTCAGTTAACCGAATACGTCGGATAGTGATAAACCTATATACGAACTTTGTTTATTGTTACAATTAAATTAAACAGCTAATATTTCTTATCTCTACATCAAAGAAAGTAGAGTGACAAATACAATTTTTTTCCATATTAAAATACAATTTAAACTAGTAGAGGTCTGCGGTCAAAGTAAATCACAGAGTAAAAATATGCCGTTTTCTACTTTGTAGTAAAAAAAAACTTTAAAAAGAAAATTCGCCGTTGTCACTGAACAAACAGCAAATTGCGGCTTATGAATGCAAGTTTTTCTGCGTCTGCTGCATAAATCAGGTTTT